TAGTATAAAATTCACATCAACAAATATTTATTTAAAATTCAAAAAGTTAGTTAGGTTAAGCTTCAAAATTTATCAGGACTTGGTAGTCATAAATTGTAAATTTGTATTTATATGATGTGTTAGAAACCTTTTGAAATGAAACTAGATCCCGATTCTATTCATACAATGGAGAGAATCAAAATCATAAAGAAAGAGATCAATCGAAAAAAAAGACATGTTTATATAGAAAGAAGATTTTGAAAATTGGTTGATTAGACATTTTAGCTAATACAATTTTGTGGCCTCTCAATACATCATTAGTGGAAATAAAAATATTTGCTTATCGACTGATTGACAATCTGTATCTATTCATAGTGGATTCAAAACCCCGAATTACATCCAATACATTTTGTTTGATTACTATTAAGTATTTTTTTCACGGTTAATAATTTAAAAAAAATTACATCATCAACTGATTCTCAATATATCGATCCATAGCAGATTCACAAGACAATTTAGAATTTTATACAATTGGTTCACGTGTGATATGGCTTCTTTGGTTAATATAATCCTCATTTTCGCAACGGATGGTTTTAAAAAAAGGGTGAAAAGCACTAAACCCACTATCTTTTTTGTCTGTTACAGATGACCCATAAGGTTTGAATATATGCAAAAAAATCACTTGTGGTTATGGACTAATCTGCAATTGTTACATTTTCCTTCCAAACAAATGACAAGTGGGCTACATGCATCGGAATTGCTGCAACTGGGAATCCCACATTCAAAATCCCAGCCAGTGTTGCAGTCTTAGCCTGAAATGACAATTAATTAGAATTTTGACCTTTATAAATCACAATGTTACTAAGCATAGGGTTTTCAACAGGGGCGGAGGCAGCATAGGTTGAGGGGGGTCACGTGCCCCCTTAGTTTTGCAAATTATTTTTTTTTTTTTGTTATTGTCATGAATAAAATGTATTCTTCTTTTTTTTCTTAACATGTTCTTTGGTTAATGATTTATTATATTGTTCACAATAAGTAGTTATTTGATACTTTGGGAACACTATGTGATATTATTTATGTAGTAGTTTAAATCAATAGTGTAGCGAAAAATATTATAGATTGGATATAATGAACTCATTATGTTCAAGTAGTTGACATACTATTTAGTGTGATTTGTGATTTTCTATACTTTGAGCATCACGTAGGTAACGTCATATGGTACTCTAAGACTTTTTAATAATTTATTTCAAAACACATCATTTATAAGCAATGTCATTTCTTTAATATTTTTCTGTCAAATAAAAATTAAATAGATTCTATAATAATTTGTACTATAAATGATGTGTTTTTATTTTTTTTAAATTAGGAATTTTGATCCATAATTTTTTATACTAAAATTGCAAACCTACATCATCATCTCACACCGAGCCATTTCACACTATTATAGAATTTTGATTTGTTCCTATTAATAATGAATATGTAATTTTTTATGTTTAAATTTATCTCATAAAATGATTATTATCTTAATGTTGCGCATGAATTTTTTTTTAAATAAAAAATTATAATTAATAAGTGGCCCTTCTAATCTAATTTTCTAACTCCGCCACTGGTTTTCAACAGACACTTGGGGGCATATTATCTGATATCGACTGATATATGACAATATTGTTGATACCAATACATATCATGATACTGTTATTTAAAAATCATCGGATTATAATGACATTACAAGTAGCTAGCTTACCCTCATCCTTGGAGGCGCATATAGTAAGAACAATGATACATAGATGACTTCAACTACGACTCCAAAACCATTAACAGTGGCAACAAGGTTGTTAAATTCAATGTATAAAGAGAAAAATACAGAGAGAATAAATTGTATGTATTCAATTGATTGATTATTCAGTGATTTACAACACTCTCAATTATAAAGAGGAAAGGTGGTACACATAGGATACTAACTAACTAACGCCGAATGCAGAAACATTACCATTAGTGGGATAGCTAGACAGCTAGATATTGCACACTAATATTACACTAACAGCCCCCCTCAAGCTCAAGGAGGATAGGTACTAGCCAACTTGAGTTTGGAGAGAGTAACAAAAAAGGAAAGTAAACTGATAAATAAAATAAAATAGGATAGGAGACACTGTATGGTCGTGTCAAACCGTTGTTGAAGACACGGTATGGTCGTGTCAAACCGTTGGAGAAGACACTGTATGGTCATGTCGGACCGTTGTAGCAGACAATGTCGGGACAGTTTATGGGGTCATGCCGGACTGATGTAGAAGCTAACAGGAATCAATGTCAGGACAGTTTACGGGGTCATGCCGGACCAATGTAGAGGCTAACCGGAATCAAAGTCGGGACAGTTTACGAGGTCATGCCGGACCGATATAGAAGGTACACTGTATGATTGTGTATATAGACTGCCCAAAAGATATACGTGTATATATATATCGAGCCCTCAAAAGTCGCACCCTCAAAAGGCGCGCCCAATTCATCAAAAATCGTGCTGGACACGTGGCGATGCACGTGATCGACAGAGCATCGTGTCGTCCTCTTCGTCATTGTCTATATAAACCGAGGCGGAGGCTGTGCAAACCAAACTAGTCTGAAACCTCTGAACATCTTCGTTCTGAAACACTCTGCAACCAACCCTTTCTGACATTACCAGTCTGAAATCGCTGCTTCTCTGAAACACTCAGCAACCCAGAACATGGCCTCTTCTTCCCGTGGTCTGCTCACTCTCTTTCCAGACCTCAACGAGTCCACAAGAGAGATAACCGGTGCGGTTGTCCTTGAACCTCAACCAAGCGCCCCTGGTTTTGCTCCGTTGAACTTTCCTATGCTGTCTGTGGAGCAAATAATGGCAGCGCGATCGGATATTGAGGCCAATCATTATACATTGAAGTCATGTGTGGAGACCATGACTGCGGTCACAAACTTGTCGCACCGGCTTCAGAGTAGGACAAATGAGGTGCAGCAGTTAAACGCCCAAATGGCTCTGCTCCAGTGCATGTATAAGGATGCGCGAGCAGAGATATGTGTGCTAAAGGCGGAAAACAAGGAGCTGAAGCAGAAGGCCACCGTTATGTTCCGATTCGAAGGTCCGCCATATGCTGCGCTGGAGGAGTAGGGGGGAGTGAACATGCTCGGCGGCGTGGGAAACACGGAGGCAGCATCGTCAAGGGCCGCCTAGGACGGAGGCAAGAAGAAGAGACCTGCAGCAGAGTAGAGAAGGGAAAAGAAAAATCCCTCCTGTGTGAGGGAGGTAGTTTGTTTGAGTTGGTTTTTTTATGTTTTGTGCTTGTAATAATTTTTTTTTTTTTTAATTAAGAACTGTGATCGGGGTAGATCCCTGAGATGAATAAAATAAGGTAAGGTTTGGTGTGCAAATCTATATGGTATGAATGAGATTTGAAAAAAAGGTTAAAAATAATTTGAAAGAAAAAGAAAGAAAGAAATAATAAGAATATAGGTGAAATTAAAAACGAAAGAGTGGTTCTGCACAGATTTGTGAAAAACAGCAATGGTGTTTGGAAATTTTTTGTTTTTTTTTTGTTTTTTTTTGAATAATAATAATAATAATAATAATAATAATAATAATAATAATAATATATTAATGTAGAAAGCATATGCGTTGGTGGGAGTTTCATATAAAAGATATAAAGATGGGTGTGATAAAGAAAAGAATAGTGGTGGATAGAAATTGATATGGGTAGTGGAGACATAATGATGATGATAAAATATGATGATGGGGTTAAAATAAAATAAAATAAAATAAATTGATGATGGGATTTCAGAGAATGTAGGTTGGGGATAGTGGCCCTGCAAAAGATATATGGTTGGAGAGTGGGTCACGTGGGTGAGTGGTGGTAAAGGAAGTAAAAAGTAAAAGAAAAAATAAAGAAATAAGAGAAGAAAAGTAAAATGGGGTTGGTGATGTATATGGAGAGAGAGAATCTAGAGAGACGAAATCCGACAATTCCTTCAAGCCCAGGGGGAGCATCTGCGGCGCACATTAGAGAGGTAGACACTACCGTAGAGGCTGAGGTGGAGAAGGTGGCATGGCGCAAAGCCGAGCGATCTTCGCGGAGGCGCAGGCGTGGCAGACTCGGGCAAAGGGCACAGGAGGCCACTGCTTCGGCGCTGCAGGAGCGGCTTCAGCAAGCCATAATGAGCGACGACGGAGGGCTGCTGAGGAGCTCGCACCATGGGCGGCGCGTGGTTGCGCGTTGGCTCTGACTTGGCTAACTCGGGCAATGGCACAGGAGGCCACTGCTTCATTTGGATGGTCAATGGGGGATTTTCTGAGCTGAGAGATGAACTCATTATTTGCTGTAAGTAAGCTTCTTTTTTTTCTGCAGATCTTCTCGACTCTTCTGGAGAAGATGAAATAGATGGTGATGGAACACCCGTGTTAATGGATGTCCTTGTGGATACACTACTTTCTTTGCTGCCGCAATCATCTGCTCCTATGCGTTCTGCTATTGAGCAGGTTTTTTAAATATTTCTGCGATGATGTCACGGACAATGGACTGCTTCGGATGTTGCGGGTTATAAAGAAAGATCTGAAACCAGCTGGACATCAAGATAAAGACATTGAAGATAATGAGGAGCTCAACTATGGAAGAAGGTATGTGTAGAAAAACAAGCGAAATAGGTTGAGGTCCGGCGGGCGGCCAAGATAAGGTTGCCGCCCGCCGATAAGGCGAAGAACACCAAGGGCTTAACCTATTGCTCTGATACCATGTTAAATTCAATGTATAAAGAGAGAAATACAGAGAGAATAAATTGTATGTATTCAATTGATTGATTATTCAGTGATTTACAACACTCTCATTTATGGAGAGGAAAGGTGGTACACATAGGATACTAACTAACTAACACCGAAAGCAGAAACATTATCATTAGTGGGACAGCTGGACAGCTAGATATTGCACACTAATATTACACTAACAAAGGTAACTCCCAGGCTTTGTGATTCCATAGTAAGTCCATAAAGTTGAGCTTAGTTGTGTGCAAATGTATGGAAAGCTCTCAAACTCCTCAGTTGATTGATGCTTCACAATCCGCAAAAATGTTCCTCTGCAAATCACATTTCAAACATATTTCACTCATCATGACTATTTCAAAACTTAACTTCAATAAAATGAACAGTTCAGGATCATTAAAAAAATACTACAAGAGAATACACTTCCAGTCACAAATTTGGTCGTTAAAAGTACATAGTTTTTTTTTTTTAGATGGGAGATAAAAGTACAAATTTTGCGAGTTGAACTCTTTCTTTCTCTGAGTCTTTACTTACAATGGAGAAAGAAAGAGAAGAACTGAGATGATGTTGCCTAAAACAATGAGAAGCAAAAGAACAGTTTAGTTTCTCTTTGTGAATTGACAAATCCAAAGACAAAGCTATATATAAAAACATAGCTGAAATGGGTTATTACCTATCACTCCAACATAGAAACTTAGGCTTTCCATTGTTGAGAAAAATTAGATTGCAGAAGGAAAAAAGGTAGCAGAGATTTTCTTTTGCTAGAAGGGAAAATCTATGTTAGGTTTGGGGAGAGAAGCTTTTTAAACTTTGGCAAGCTTTGAATTTAATTTATTTTGTTTTTTAGCAAAGAATCTAACTAATATTTGGTTAGGTGGAATTATGCGGAATGAAATGAACATTATTTTCATGTCTAATTTATTAAAAAAATATTTAAAATATGCATATATATATATATATATATTATAATATAAATAAAGTCATTACTCAGTACTATACATAAATAATTATTTTAAAAAGAGATTATTCATTTTAATAAATCAAATAATGACTAAGATTCATTAGCTAATGCTAGAAAACTTTCTGGTTCTAATTAATTAATTATTTAAACAAGCACTATTACATTTTGAACTAAATTTATTAGGTGTGTAGAGATTTTAAAAGTTTTATCAAAAAAAATTTCAAATGTCTTATAGTGTGGAACTCACATGCGACTCATATTTTTAAGGGCAAAATTATAAACTTACTTAATTCGGTGAGTAAACCTCAACCAATTTAGTGATAATTTTATTTAAAAAACACTAACTGTATTATTAATTGGACTAAATTGTCACAAAATCTAAGATTAAGGGTCAAAATTGATCCAATTGAAGCATAGGGACCAAAATGATATGGGAAGTAAAATATAGGGACCGTTGGTGTAATTTATCCTGGTTAATATAGGATAAGACTCGCTATAGGAAATATGGGATTTAACGGCGATTATTTAACGAGGTTTTTTTAAACGCCAATTTTTCTAATATTTAACGACGTTTTATAAACGTCGTATTTTGTTTTAATTAAAACAGTATCGTTTACCAATAGAAGTCGTTTTTAAACACCTTACAATGTTATCCCTCTCTCTCTCTCTCTCTCTCTCTCTATTTCGAAGCTTCACCGCCACCACCATCTGCATCGTCTACTTAGATGAGCACCACCCTATAATCTCAGTTTCGTACTCTCTCTCTCTCTCTCTCTCTCTCTCTCTCTCAAGCATTTCCTTCTGTCAATTCTTCTCCCAGGATTTAGATAAACTCTCCTCTTGCATGACTTGCCCCTTGTGATTTCAAGCGACAAATTCTCTCTAATTGTTGTGAGATCTGAGTTCGAACGGTAAAGGAGACGCCCTAGATTGTTGTGTTTTGGGGGGTTCTTCTTATTCCTTGAAGGAAATGTCGTCTATACTGCTACATCTAGACCTAGCTATAGTTATTGAGACTGGATCATCTCTTTTTTCCCCCCAAGAAGGTAAGATTTGAAGTTTGAAGCACCAATGTCTTCATGTCATCGAAATTTCTTTTTTAATAACCTATATTTCAGATCTAAGATTTCTCATTCAAAAATATGTTTAAGATTTGAAATTTCTTATTCAAAAACATATGTTTCAGATCTGAGATTTCTCATTCAAAAATATATGTTTAAGATTTGAAGGTTCTCATTCAAAAATATTTGTTTGAGATTTGAATTTTCTCATTTGAAAATATATAGTCTTTCCTCATTAAAAATTTTCATTCGAAACAATATCATTTAGATATGCGATTTTCATCAAAAATACATGTTTCAGATTTAAGAGTTTTTATTCGTTTGAGATCTGAAGAATCTTTGGGAATTTTTTTTGGATATAGCCTTGTTCCTGCTTAGGCTTTTGATTGTTGATTTTTGAGGGAATCTGAGCTTTTGTGTATATGAATGACATCCTTGATGAGGTCTGCTGCTATGTTATGTTACTTTTTTTTTTCTTTTGGTTATTAATTCATGCTATATTCATTGAAAAGGTGTAATAAATTATTGACAATCTACCCTTGAATGTTATTATTTGGCATTTATTATATCAACTATGTTTTTGTTCCAAAGAATTAATTCCTGACTCTGAAGAACATATGTCATCAATTAATAAACTATGTTCTTGTGTGCATGCTTGCCTTGTGCTCTAGATTTCATTGTTAAGATAAATAAAATGTGGGCTCACACTTCTTCCTACACTTGATTTAGCAAAAGCTTAGTTAATCAAATTTGTTGTACCACTTTTTGTTAAGCTTGATCTAGATTTAAAGAAATAAGTTTTTATTTTTTTATTTCCAATTTAAAAACTCTTATTGATCACACATTGTCAGATCTAGATATTGGACTAGTGATGAGAGGGAATGGGTTGAATTGTTGAGATTGGCCCATTTATTGATCATGTAGTTTGGGACAAAACAGGTAAAGATTTTGACTTCCACTTTGCTTTTATTTGTGTTCTCTTTACAGTGTTTTTATCTAGATTTTTGTTCTATTTATATAAATTTATTGTATTTTTTTTGCCATTCATGTTCTTCAAAGCTGCCAAAATTTGGCATTGTGCTATACTTGGTGGTACAATGCCAAAATTTGCCACACCATTGAGGTGTCTTTGTTTTTGTTTTTGTTTTTTTTTTTTTGTATTTCAGTGTTGCTTTTAAGTATCTCAGTTGGAACTTATTTGAGACTTTTGTTGCTTGAACTTAATCTTCATGACCGATGATTACTATAGCGTGCTGGCATTGGAACAAATTGAGTCACATCTTCACTTCATACTTGTTTATTCCAATGAGCCTATGTTCTCTATTATTATGGTTGCTTGCATTGCAATAATTAAGATTTTCATGATTGTTAATTTACATCTCTATTGGGGTTTCCTACTTTTACTACAGTTGGTGGTTTTGTCACTTTTAATGATTTGGTTTTTTCATTTTTTATACAACACAAATGAGTAAGGGTAAAAATAAGTGACTGAAATAGGTTCACCCAGCTGCCAAAATGTATGCTTCTTAGTAAGTTAATTTGTATATGCTGCAATTTAATTGGTATTTTTCTTAAATTTTAGATCATAATAACAATATGACTCAAGCTATGGGTGCTGGAATAAATTTACAAATGATTTTCTCGACCCTCCAATGAGTTTACCATGAGACTAGATTTATTTTCTTTCTTCGATTTTCATTTTCTTTTCTTGGGATCTTAGAAGAGTACTGTGCATGTTCTAGTGTTGGAGAGAGCACTCATGCTTTATGAAGTTTTGTTTGTTTTCTTGTTATATTAAATGTTGTTCTCTGTGATGATAGTTAGAACAAAAGATTGGATTGCCACAGGAGGATTTTTTAATGAATAGTCTAAGTTGGAGTCTTGTTTGTACAAGTGTCGATGACTTTTGTGTATATATACCTATGTTTTTTCCAGCTTATAATTTATTAAGAATCTTTACTTTTTATATGTTCTATATTTCTCGTTGTTTTGCAACACCTCAAGAATTCATGTTTGACATTTGTTTTATCAAAATTCTGATGCATCACATAATGCCTATGAACTACACCAGGTTTTGGAAGAGGTGAAATGGGGATATTGGTGAAGTTTAGGTGTTCTGGCTTTCTTTCGTAAGAATCAGCATTCTGATTAATATTGGATACCAAGGTGAGATATTATAGAATTGTCTTTTGGGTCTTGTGCTATACTTGGTGGTACAATGCCAAAATTTGGCACCCTATTGTGGTGGGTTTTTTTTTTTTTTTTTTTTTTTTTTTTTTCAATTGGTGGTATAATGCCAAATTTAGCTTTGACACATATTCGAGTTGCTATAAGGTCTAAAAGTTTAGTGCAACTCTTTAAAAGCATTAGATTTGTTAAATCGAATACTAGATAGATTTTTTGGAGGCATCTCTCTCTCTCTCTCTCTCTCTCTCTCTCTTCATTTTTTTTTTAATGTTATTTGAATGTAAGATCCTATTGTTTTTGGTATAGAGGAGAAGATCACAATGTGGACCTTCTTACCTAAAGATAAAACTATATGCTGATAATAAATACTTGATTCAAGTAGACTTTTCTTTGTAAGTCATCAATCGTGGATAATTTTCTTTGTAAGGTGGTGAAACAATGTTTCCCTCAGCAAAGGTTGGTTCAAAATTCTTCCCGATTTCAGTTGAACATGACTGATAGTATTCCATTTTTTTTTTTTTTTTGGAACTCCAACCAACTACTCTTCTCAATATCCAGTAATTCACTTATCCTGAAATTTTGTTTGCTTATTCTTATTATGCTTCTTGTTAAGTGAAAATAAAGTTTAATTGTAAATATAAACATTGTATTACATAGCATATTTTTGTTGATTTCCTTAATTATATGCTTGTGGATCTGCTTTTCCTGTTTTGGATTGCTTGTTGTGACAAAGATTGATTAAATTGAAAACAGGCCCTCCACCGAAAAGATATGAAATTTAGGAATTTAAAAGCAAATCCTCAATCTCATTCATAGAAAGTGCAATTCATCCACCATTTATGAATGAATAATATTATATCTATGAAGTTTGAGAGATAAAAGGTCTATTGTTGAACAAGGAGAAGAGAGAATATAGAGATGAAAACGTAGAAAATAGGAGGGAGAAGAAAGAAGGAAAAAAAAATAGGGGAGAGAAAAAGGTCTTGATGAAACATATATTTAGTTTCAAAAAGGCCAAATATAGAGTTAATAAGAAAGAAAGTCCATATATGAATGTCCAAATGATTTGTGAATTGGAATTGGTTAAACCCATATTGTGGGGTGGGATTCTTCATGCTAATGTTTGAAGTATATGTATGAGTATGATTACTTATGGTTGCATTGTAAGAACTATGCAAATAGTAGTTGGAGTTACATTTGGTATGTGTCAGAACTTTTTTTCTACAATAAATACATACTGGATTTATCTCTTACTCTCAATTATCATAGTGCATTTTAAATTTTATTTTATTTTTGGTTTCTTCATGATGGCTGCTAGTGTTGTTTCTGTCAATGTCATGTTTGTTTCATAACATTGCCCTCGTTAGTTTGTTGCAATTAATTACTTATAATTACTTTTGAGTAATTTGTTAATGTGTATTATTGCTTTTGATAATGTCTAATAATATTTTTATTATATCCAAACAACTTGTCCAATTCTCATACATGTCTTATTTTGTTTTAAGTGCAGGCATTTAGAGTACCACCTTAGCAGTCATGGCAAAAAGTGAAC